AATAAATAAATAAATAAATAAATAAATAAATAAATAAATAGGCAACTCGGCTGGGATCGTCAGAGCTTGGATCGCCAGAGCCATGTAAAAGAAAAAAACTTTTTCTTTTACATGGCTCTGGCAATCCCAGCTGAGTTGCCTGATTAGCAGGCAACTCAGCTGGGATGGTCAGAGCTTGGCTCGTCAGAGCCTTTCAGGCTGGTCTGCCCGGTTACAGGAGAATGACACCCGGCGTATAAGACGACCCCCCGACTTTTGAGAAGATTTTCATGTTTTAAAAAGTCGTCTTATACACCGGAAAATACGGTATTTGTTTAGCAGAGTGATGGCATTCGGGGAAAAAACTGTTCTTGTGTCTAGTTGTTCTGGTGTGCAGTGCTGTATAGTGTCGTTTTGAGGGTAGGAGTTGAAACAGTTTATGTCCAGGATGCGAAGGGTCTATAATTTTTTTTTATTTTACTTTATTTATTATAGTAAAATTTCTTAGCCAAATGAAATTTATAAAATGATCATCATAGTATTAATACATAGTAGTATTGTGTATAATCCAGGAAATATAAAATGAAAAAAGTACAATAGCCAGTTATACAGTTATGCTGTACCAATTAAACAACGTGGACTGCAGTTAAGAAATTTCCTTAATACAATTCCACTCTACAATCAAAAGGGCCTATTGAGAATTTTAAAAGAAATTTCTCAACTGCAGCCCACATGGTTTAACTTTGGAGAGATTTCTCCTAGGTCTCATAGTCCTTTGCTTAACTAATGAGATGAAAATATATGCGTAGTGTAACGTTGATATCTATTGTAGAAAATAAAACTCAGATTTTGCTTGTTAATCTCTCTTCATTAGTAGCTTCCAATTAATTTCGGTACCAAACTTAATTTCATAAGCATTTTGAATGCCAACAGATGAATCTTCTGATTCATTGCAAATCTTTAATGAACTAATATCCACAAGCACTCAACATCCTAATGAGAATACATCTAACGATAGATCACAATTAATTTTAATATTTTTGTTTTGCTAGCCATTGTCTAAGGACATGAGTTCCAAAACAAATAAATCTGACCTTATGAAAATTTAAACATTACAAAGAGAAATAAAAATAGTATAATAATAATCACAAGTTCCGTAACAACATTTGGAACACAAGGAACAGATTCTAAAATAGCTTGCCTCTATATTTGATGTATAAAATGTGGGCATAATAAATGAGAATATGGAAGAGTACTTGGAATAAAATTCATTGCCTGGCAGAATGTTACAGAAATGCTGGAGTTATGCTAATAAAATGAATAAAGAATGCTTGGTACAATGACGGATAACGATTCAGCTTTAATTATAGAATGTTTGAATATACGTTTGATTGCTAAATGTAATATGTGTACAAAGTAGAGCATAGGGGGGATTAAAGGGAATATTCAGTGTGATTTGCCTTTGCTGATTCAGTGTGTTTATGAAGGAATGTATTAAAATGTTTGGGGTATTGTTAGAGGTGTCATAGTCAGGGATATGGATATACTTTTGTGTATGTTCACACCCACACCCACACACACACAGGTAGTCCTTGGTTAATAACCACTCATTCAGTAACCGTTTGAAGTTGTACTGAACAAATGATACTTACCAGTCCTCAAAGTTTTGGCTGTAACAGTTACCCCATGGTGATGTGATTGTGATCTGGGCACATGGCAACCAGCTCATAGTTGTGAAAGTTGCAGACTCCCAGGGTCATGTGATTGTCATTTGCAACCTTCCTTGATGGCTTCCTATATGCCAAGTCAATGCAGAAGCTAGCAGGGAAGATTACAAATCATGCCTACTGCTTTTTCTCCCAGGGATCTTGTACTCCTTAGCATGCTTGCTTTGCAGCACCTCCTCCCTACCTTCCACACACTCGCCACTAGCCTTGGTAATACTCCACCCTGCTTCTGAGATTCCCAGTGCTTGCAACTTATCAATTTTATGTGTGTGCACATATCTGTAAGATTCCCCCATCTTGCTTGCATGTGACTCTCGGTGGCATACATAATTAGAACAGAAACTAATAATCACAAAATTGAAGCATTAAAACAGTGGTGAAATCCAAATTTTTAACTACCGGTTATATGGGCGTGACTTGGTGAACGTGGCAGGGGAAGGATACTGCAAAATCTCCATTCCCATCCCACTCCAGGGGAAGGATACTGCAAAATCCCCATTCTCTCCCTACTCCTGGGGGAAGGATATTGCAAAATCTCCATTCCCACCCTATTCTGGGACCAGCCATAGGTGACATTTGCCGGTTCTCTGAACTACTCAAAATTTCCGCTACCAGTTCTCCAGAACCTGCTGGATTTCACCCCTGCATTAAAACCATTACTATTAGTAAGACCACACCTGGAATACTGCATCCAGTTTTGATCATCACATTACAAAAAAGAGGTTCATACTTTAGGGGTGGAAATGCAAAGAAGAGCAACTAAGATGATTTTAGCCTGGAGACTAAAACCTATGAAGAACGGTTGCAGGATTTGGGTTTGGTTAGTCTAGAGAAAAGAAAGACAAGGGGGGACATGATAGCAGTATTCCAGTATTTGAGGGGCTGCCACAAAGAGGAGGGGGTCAATTTATTTTCCAAAGCACCATCAGGCAGGACAAGAAACAATGGATAAAAACTAATCAAGGAGAGATGCAACCTGGAATCAAGGAGAAACTTTCTAACATTGAGAACAATTAACCACTGGAACAGCTTGTCTTCAGATGTTGTGGGTGCTTCATCACTGGAAGTTTTTAAGAAAGTCCAAATGGCTCTTTGAGTGTTTAAGGTTCCCTGGGTTAGACAATAAAGGTTAGAAATTAGAAGTTGGAAGAATACTACTATATACAAGTAAATATTGTTACTATTATTCATATTATGTATAAGTAAATTGACCAGACAATATACTGTTTATTAAGCACTCATTTATGTTAAAGAAAAATGTACAAATAAAATTTATTTTAAAAAATATTTCAAAATAAAGACAAATCCAGTCTTTTTCAACCTGGTACCCTTAAAATGTTGACCATGGCAAATGATGGACATTATAATCCAATACAGCTGGAAGATTCTGGGTGGAGAGGCAGGTGTGATCCAATCTTTGCTTTGTCTAGCCTTTAAAAAAAAACAGCCATTCAGTAGAAACTGTTTACACAAGTTTCTGGCTTCCTTTTCCCTCTCACACAGTAAAAGCAAGATAAACCCACCACCAGCTGCAAGGGAAAAAAAAGAACCCATCCCACCTTAATAGAGATTTACTGAAGAGCTTCTACCATTTGTTCCCTTCTTTTTTTGAGTTTATAGTCTGGTACATTATTATCAGTTCATTTCCACAACAAAAAATCTTGCATCCTTGTCTTGTAAGGTTTGACCTTTCATTCCCAGCCTTGGTTGTTTACATAATAATTGAGCTTGTGTGCTCGTCAACTTTTACATTAATTCCAGATTTTCGTGGGTGCCCTTGAAAATGGGCAGAAGTATGACCAGTTCCAGGGTGGATTTGATTTAAACCGAGTTGATTTAAATCAGAATTTAAATCATATTTAAATCACTAGTAAAAAGGCTTGATTTAAATCAACTCGATTTAAATCATAATTTTTAAAGAGCAACTGTCATCTCAGCTACTCCTTTGACCCACTGTTGACTCACCGATAGTCCCAGTGTTGCAGAATATACAGCCTCATGCTATGTAACTAAGCTCCATTTCATGCTGAATAAACTAAATTATTTATGTATCTTAAATAGAAAACTACCTTACAACAGATTTTTACCCCCAAAGTTTTTTATTAAAATAAATTTGATAAAAATAAAAAAAAATCTGATTTAAATCAAAAAAATCTGATTTTTTTTAATTTTTTTAAAAAAATCATTGATTTTTATCCACCCTGACCAGTTCCTACAATTTTCTTTTATGGCCTTGAAACTTGTAAACCAAACGGCATGGCGGGGGAATTACAATTTGGTCTATCTTAAAACATGGAAAGGAGACAGGGCATGCATGTAATCTTGTTTACCTGTTTTTGCAAATAGGAGCCAACCAAAAATGTACATTTTTCTCTAATTCATTTTCTTTAACGACCATTATGCTTAGTCACTCCATCACATTGGCTTGATATAGATACATATGTGCATGAATCTGGATTAAGGGAAGTGATGACAAATTAGGTCCAGACTTCAAAGTACCACTGTCTTTGTGGCATAAAGTACTCTGCACTCACATTTATGATATCTGAGCATGCTTCTGAATTGATGTGATTTCTAACTTGCCAAAAACAAGATCGCTAGCGAAAGTGTCAAGTTGTAATACTGAATGCCGTTGATTTTGAAATTAAGTTTACGTGGTTTACAAATGAACTTTGATGGAAATGTTTCACTATAAGGAAACTATAATTTCTAGAACTCAGAATCTGAGTCTCAGAACTCAGATTTTTTTTGTTTTTTCTGGGTGTTCAAAGACCAAGCTGTTGAAAATTAGTTCTGGGCAACCAATTTTGTATTTACTGGTATGTGGATTTTCCTTGGGTTTGAGCAGGTTTGATCTGAGAACTATCTTGCTGTGTTATGACTACAGTTATGGTAAAGTATGCAGATGAGCTGGCTGAAATGCAAGATGGAAATGAGTCTAATCCATCCAAGAAGAATAAATTGTATCCTTGCACTGCAGGAATGAAAAGGCCTAGATTGTGCCTTTCCTTCCAATGCAGCATGAGTGAAAGAGGTGGGGTGGGAGAAAGAAAGAAAGAGAGAGAGAGAGAGAGAGAGAGAGAGAGAGAGAGAGAGAGAGAGAAAGAAAGAAAGAAAGAAAGAAAGAAAGAAAGAAAGAAAGAAAGAAATTGATTGATTCCCAGAGGGAGAAATTTTGCTCTTTACCCCAGTCTACCTCCCACTTCTCTCCCACTTTCTTTGGAATGATATACAGGGAGGGGAGCGGAGGGGAGGATGGGCTTTCTGCACACAAGAGCCAGAACAGCTCGGCTCAAGGCTAGGAAACAATAAGCACAAGGGGGAGTGTGGGAGAGAGGCTGGCAGAGAACTCTCCTTGAAGCTTGGTTGCGTCTCGCCACTTGTCTCCATCCCACCCTTGCTCAATGAAGCCAGAAGAGAATGAAGATATGTTCTCCAGCTTTTTGCTGGAGGACATAAAGCAGAGGCTGCTCCAAGCTTTCCAAGGACAGACGACAGGGGTAGCAATTACTCCTGCATTGTCTAGACCTGTTGAAGATACGGCCCGTGGCAGAAGAGCTGTGCCCACTCAGGACCTGCACTGGGGCCACATGGAGAAGGGCATAGCCTGGCTTCGCATAGAATTGGTGAGTGATATGAGCAAGAGAGATGATTAGGCACCCTCCCCTGGGAATATGAAGGGGTGGCCTGTAATCCCAGAGTTGTCCATTATACTTGTTTTGTTGTTACAAACTTCTGAACCTTTCCTTGTACTAATCATATAGTTCCCTCCTCCTGTTGGAACTAAAGGATGGGAAAAGAAAATTCATACCAGCGATGAAGAGCAATTATCATTTTTGGCCAAAGGATGAAGTTACTTGCTTTTCTCCTTGCTGCCTTATCCAAGGGGATGATGATGATGTTGATGATATGAAGCCTTTATATCATCACCCGCATCCCTGCTTGTCCATTTACTCCCCCCCCCAAAAAAAACCCTAACACAAGAAAAATATAATGAGGGGAACACAAAGAATCTTGGGCGGTTACCGAACAGGATCTCTTACAACGGTCTGATCCATTGAAACAGGAATAGTTCAGAGAGAGGTGGAGTCAAATCATGAAAGAATTATACTTATGTGATGCAGAGAAGAGGTTACTGTGGTTAAAAAGTACATGAGCTGTGTGGGGAAGATACTTAAATTTCACCCAGGTTTGGCTTTGCAGCAGTATACAGTTTCCTGGCCGGGTTTTAAATTGGTGTATTCAACTAAAATCATTTTGAGATTATATTTTTATGATCCTATTCAGGTGTGTGAAACAAGAATTGATAACAATGGTATTTCTTCCTTCTGTGTTACCAAGTCAAAATATAAATGGCAATTATAACTCCTCAGAATGATCTCTGTTTCGGGGAATATCTATACATCCTTCTGATGCCATTCTCTAAGGTGCAACAAAGACAATGCTAGAGAAGCTTGTTGTGTTGTGTGTTTACCAACTAATTGGCATCCTTGTTAAAACACATCTAGATATTGCCAAGATTTTAAAAAAAATCTTATCTAGCTCCATGACAGACCATGTTTTTACTTCTGCTTGAAATATCACCCAGTTTCCAAACAAAAAGTTTATTTTTTTTATTCAGGCTTGAATCAAAGCACTTTCAAATGTCTCTTTTTAAATGCCAGAATAAAAGCAGATTATGGCTTACTTTGCTCGTGTTTCATTCTTCGTTCTCAGACACTGGTTTGGTTCCAGAATATTCCAGCTAGTATGCTAGAGTTCCATGAATGAAGCAAAGACAGTTCCATAATCATCAGAATTATTTCATCATTTTTCTAGTTGATCACCAATGGTTCTCAGCCACCTTTGAAGTCAAAGGTGCTCAAAATCTGGATCAGAACCACTTGAGATGCATAAGTATTATTATTTACTTAGCATACAGCAATGTTACATTAGCCAGGAGACTACAGTATTAATATGAAGTCGTTGTTTGGCTGATGATGATTGCCAATCCATTCTGTTCACGTTTGCACGCTATCTAGAGTGCACCATAGGGGGCAGACAATCTCCACACAAGATTTGATGGCATTCTCCAATGTTATCCAGGGTGCAGTGGTTAGAATGTAGTACTACAGGCTACTTCTGCTGACTGCCGGCTGCCTGCAGTTTGGCAATTCGATTCTCACTGGCTTAAGGTTGATTCCAGAGGTGGTATTCAGCAGAATACTGGAGAACCAGTAGTGAAAATTTTGAGTAGTTCAGAGAACCGGTAAATACCACCTCTGACTGGCCCTGCCCCATCTATTCTGTGCCTCACAAGTCCCAGCTAATCGGGAGGAAATGGGGATTTTGCAGTAACCTTCCCCTGGAGTGGGGAGGGAATGGAGATTTTACAGTATCCTTCCCCTGCCACGCCCACCAAGCCATGCCACGCCCACAGAACTGGTAGTAAAAAAATTTGAATCCCACCATTGGTTGACTCAGCCTTCCATCTTTCCAAGGTCGGTAAAATGAGGACCCAGATTGTTGGTGGCAATATGCTGACTCTGTAAACCATTTAGAGAGGGCTCTAAAGCATTGTAAAGCCTTCCCCTTACATGGGGAGGCTGAAACAATTTATTCTGATTTATTGTGCTGTGTGAAAAATACATTTTGTGCTTGCCTGAATGTTCTTTGATATATGTTTGCTTACAAACGTTTCAGGACTAAATTTTGAGCAGAAACAGCAGCAAAGCTGATTTCTGCTTCTAATTAAGCCGTTCTGGATGGTGATCAACTGTTGAAAGCAGTTACTGTCTTTTGTTTTTTTGTAGCTTGAGATGAAGTTCCAGAACCAGAAACTTGCCAGAACTCTGCTGGATTTAAGTATGGAAATTCAGAGGCTGAGGAATGAAATTGATATGTCAGCAGCTCTAGAATCAAAAGATCTAAGCTCCTTTGGAAATTCAGACTAATAAACTGTACTATGAGACCAAATCTAGACTCCAAAATGCATCCTTTTACTGATTCAGAAAAAAGAAATTGAAGACTGGATTGCACGTTTAAGTTCAGTTTCATGACAAAACCTTCTTCTTCCTTAAAGATTAATCTTCTTCCTTAAAGATTAATAAGATTTCTGCTTAACTCAGTTGGGGGAGTGATATGTACAAAAGAATTTGATGTCTCCCCAGGAGTTTCAGCTGAAAGAAAGATGAAGTGTTTGCATCATCTTTCAAATGCGATCATTGCTTTTAGAATGACCCAAAGAGCAATTTGATCCTAGGAAAGATGGGAGGATAACTTAGAAAGCTGTTAAAAACAATAGCAACAATATTATTGGACTTATTTGCAGCAAATAAATTATACTCATTTCAGAAAATGGCTTGTATCGGTCATCAGTTGACAAGCATGTCACCCGTGCATGTATTCATGAAAGCAAATGTATCAGAGGTGGGTTTCAGCAGGTTCTGACCAGTTCTGGAGCAACTGGTCAGAACCTGTTCTAGTGGAAATTTTGAGTAGTTCGGAGAACCGGTAAATACCACCTCTGATTGGCCCCGCCCCTATTTATTCTCTGCCTCTCAGTCCCGGCTGATCAGGAGGAAATGAGGATTTTGCAGTATCCTTCCCCTGGAGTGGGGAGGGAATGGAGATTTTACAGTATCCTTCCCCTGCCACGCCCACAAAGCTATGCCCACAAAGCCATGCCACACCCACCAAGCCACGCCCATAGAACCGGTAGTAAAAGAATTGGAATCCCACCGCTGAAATGTATCCTCAGTATAACATATTCGTAGCTGTACACTTGCCCTGCAACTTCAGGAAAGGGCAGTTATAATTAGAAATATGGCAAAGAAAGTAGAAAGTACTGTAACTGTAATTCAAATTGGTGAGAGATGAGTTGCCACAGCTGCTTTTTCCTTGTAAAAACCTGCAAGCAAATTCATCACAGAATGCCTACTATCTCATTGCAATATCTATCTCAATATTCCTTCGAAACTCCATGCATGTCCACACACAAGACTCTGTCTGCCACCCTCTGTTAAAGACGAAGTATTGCCAAAGTTCATTTCTGCACAGAAATTCTCCACAGAAATGGGGGGTGGGGGGAGGAGAGAGAGTGCAGGAAGAGGAGTTTTCAAGTGAGGAGCAGAAACTAATCCAGCCTGAAAGCTAAGCTGAAGATTGGGGATGTTCTGCTATGCTCCAGGCCAAAGGAGAATCCAGCAGCAGTGGGCAAGAAGAGGTGAAGCAAAGTGGAAATTAGGGGGAGAGAGATGTAATTACTCATTTAAAAAATAATAATTTGACAGCTTGTCAATCTAAAATACAGGTAGTCCTCCACTTACGACCACATCTGAGACCAAACATCTGTCATTACCAGCCTAGGTAACATCATCAGTACTCACAACCTAATCTCCATTTAAACACATTCCATGAAGGGGAAGGAGGTCTTGGAACCAAGTGCTTTTCTTTTTTCTTTTTTCAATCGCGTATTGCTTACAAAAAAAAAAGGTAATTTGCTAAGTCTTCTCTGCATCTTTTTATACTAATGGATTGAATGATTTTCGTATCCAGCCTTTGATTCATGCTGTCCCCGTGGATATTTTTTTTAGTCAGAAACTTCAACAAAAGGAAGCCAGAAGGCAAATAGTTCCATTCATCACATGTAAAAACAGTGAAATATTATCTGCAGATAAACTTTTTAAATTAAAATAGCTCGCACTCTCACCCTCTGGCAGGTAGCAGAAATAAGGGATGAGAAACGACAGCTTTTCATCAGCAAGCTGCTGGCATCCTAAATGCTACAGATCCCAGATATTGTTAAATCTGAGGGAAAACTAACACACAGTGCTGTCACTAACCCTTGGATAATAGGTAAACGGTATTTTCTTTACCATCCAAAATCAAAAATGATTACGAGGCCAGCGAGGCTTGTGGTTATCAGCACACTGACATACCCTGGAAGCGTAAAATCTTACCGCTTTTAATAACGTTGGACATATTTCAGAAACCAGGCAGCGCTAATGCATCCAGATGTGATACAGCTTGCAAAGTTCACTCGAGTGGCTGCTTTGCATTCTAATATAGTCTAAGTATTTTGTGTCTGCTGACTTCTCCAGCAAGTGAATGGACTGGATTCCAGAGGCCTAGGATGGCTCTTCTGCAGCTCATCTGATGCTGATTAAAATGTATGGCCGCATCTAACGCAATTGGAAAGCTCAGGAAAACCCTCTTGCCAGAGGTTCACTTGTTCTTTTGAAAATAATGGGATTTAAACTCTTACTTTTACCTTTAAATGGTTTTAGAAGAACATCTGGGTCAGACAGAGAGCTACAGGACCATTCTTCTGTTCAGCATCTGAATATACAAGAATTATGGCTAGAAGCCTCACTCCTGCTAAATACACCATGTATTTCTTTTTCTGCTATGGGTATACCTAAGAGGTAATCTCGTGGAAGGCGTAGAAGGTATAGAACAGGGCTCTGCAACCTTAAACACTCAAAGAGCCATTTGGACCTGTTTCCCACAGAAAAGAAAACACCGGGAGCCACAAAACCTGGGTGGGCGTGACCAACTCGACGTCGCTCACTTCCACCAGTCACATGACAATCCCCCTAACCACGCCTACCCAGCAGGTCATTAGGGCAGAGAACTGGTTGTTACAAAACACCGGTAATCACAAAACCGTTTTGACATCTCTCTCTCCTTCCCTCCCCCCCCCTCTGTATCTCTCTGTGTGTCTCTCTCTCTTCCCCTCTCTCTGTATCTCTCTGTCTCTGCCCCGGCCACTTGTCCATCACCCACCGTCGCCCTTACCTTCTCAGGCCAGGCGAGGAGTGACTGGGAGGGGAAGGCAAGGGGGGGCAGCCAGTGGTGGGATCACCTGACGGAGCCACAGCAAAGGATCCAAAGAGCCACATGTGGCTCTGGAGCCGCAGGTTGATGACACCTGGTATAGAGCAGGGGTGAAATGCTCTGAAGTCTGCTACTGGTTCGCTTCACTAACAGTTTGCTTCACACACACATGCGTGGTGATGCCAAACGTGCGCTTTACACACATGTGCACCACAGGCGCTACCGTGCACTGAAAAAGGAGGATTAAGGAGGATTAAGAAGCCTTTCCTGCTTTCTAGCGAATATAAATCACACGGCACAGCTAATCATCGGAAATACAAGTTTACCCAAACTGGTAGCATTTTTTTTTACTACTAGATCGCCCGAACCAGTAGCATTTATTCCTATCGGTTCAGGTGAACCAGTCCGAACCGGTAGCATTTCACCGCTGGTATACAGGATAGATAGCTTTATTGATTAGCCTATAGGCCATATCAAAACACAAGGTTCAAACACATTTTACCAATAAAATCCTATACAAACAATTTAAAATAAGAGTAGGGCAAAATACAATAGCAGAAGGTATAGACCTGATATTCACTCACCTGAGCACCTAATTAAGCTCCTATCAATTTTCAATAAATTAAAATTAAGCTTAGGGGGTTTTAAATGGGACAGGATGGATGAGGATGACAAAGGGTGAAAAAAAAAGGAAGTTTCCAAATACACATACACAGTTATTCTTTATTTCGAGGTTATATGTATGTTATATGCGCCCTCAGTTTAACAAACTGCAGGGTAGTCCTCGACTCATGACCACAATTAAGCCCAAAATTTCTGCTATTAAGTGAAACATTTGTTGAGTTTTGCCCCATTTTACGACCTTTCTTGCCACAGTTATTGAGTGAATCACTGCTGATAAATTAGTAACCCGGTTGTTGGCTTCCCTGTTGACTTTGCTTGTCAGAAGGTCAGAAAAGGTGATTACAGGACCTTAGGACACAGCCACAGTCATAAATATGAACCGGTTCTCAAGCTTCCAAATTTTGATCACATGATCATAAGGATGCCGCAAAGGTCCCAACTTTGAAAAACAGTCATAAGTCACATTTTTCAGTGCTGTTGTAATTTTAAACAGTCACTAAATGAACTGTTGTAAGTCAAGGACTACCTGTATACATAATATACATATTTGTTTTTGTAGATTTTCACAGGTAGAGGCATGCAAATTTTGGTGTATTCGGGTCTTTTCCCGTGTAAGATTGAAAGTATCTTGGCAAGATACTCTCAATCTTACAAGGGAAAAGACCCGAATACACCAAAACTTGCAATATATATACTTGTATACAGACAGTTCCAAATGGAGATTTTTCAGTGACTTGTTTCCTTCTTTCCCTCTTAAAGCTTCTTTCTATGTTTAGAATAGAATAGAATAGAATAGAATAGAATAGAATAGAATAGAATAACAGAGTTGGAAGGGACCTTGGAGGTCTTCTAGTCCAACCCCCTGCTTAAGCAGGAAACTCTACACCACTTCAGACAAATGGTTATCCAACGTCTTCTTAAAAACTTCCAGTGTTGGAGCATTCACAACTTCTGGAGTCAAGTTGTTCCACTGATTAATTGTTCTAACTGTCATGAAATTTCTCCTTATTTCTAGGTTGTTTCTCTCCTTGATTAGTTTCCACCCATTGCTTCTTGTCCTGCCCTCAGGTGCTTTGGAGAATAGGTTGACTCCCTCTTCTTTGTGGCAGCCCCTGAGATATTGGAACACAGAAGTCTTCATTTCTGGACTTATTTCTGTCTTGGGGAGCAAAATTGGAAGAGGGGACAAACAAAGCTAATGGGAAAAGCCAGATTTACTTAAGATCACATGACTTAGTTAAGAACTGCAGTGCTTCACTTAACAAAAGTGACAAAAAAATAATAATCATGAAATCAGGCTCAACTCACTTAAATAACCACCTTGCTTAGCGATGGAAATTCTGCTCCCAATTGTGGTCAACGACTAACCCAGGGGTGAAATCCAGCAGCTTCTAACAGGTTCTGAAGAACCGGTAGTGGAAATTTTGAGTAGTTCAGAGAACTGGCAAATACCACCTCTGGCTGGGCCCAGACTGGGGTGGGAATGGAAATTTTGCAATATCCTTCCACTAGGAGGGGAGGGAATGGAGATTTTGCAGTATCCTTCCCCTGGAGTGGGTTGGGAATGGAGATTTTGCAATATCCTTCCCCTGCCACGCCCACCAAGCACGCCCACCAGGCCACGCCCACAGAACCAGTAGGGAAAAATTTTGGATTTCACCCCTGGACTACCCGTATGCATAGGTGCGCCGTGCATTTATTCAATTTAATCAAAACATTTATCTGTACACCTGTATGCATACAGGAGCACAAAAGTGGGGTTTGTTTATTCCTCCCTTAAAAAAAAAAACCACCCAAAGGTTTTGCACACAATCTGTATATCTCTCTTGACATTTTGCAAAATGTTGTCAGGACACCTCAAGGATAAATGTCATTTTCATATAAATTGCCCATTAA